AACCATCCTGCAAAAATCGACTAATCACAAATTCGCAAGTTACTGAAAATTAGTTTCAAAAAAATATAAACACAACCATGATTCAAAATCTGAAGATTTGGAGGTTGAAAGATTTCGACCGAGATTTTTTTAACCTAATTTAGAGAAAACCGATGAACCAAATATAGTACCAAAGATGTAATTCAATAGTTTTCAACTGATTTACAGGATTTCTTCTATAAAAAATTTTCAAACTAGATGTTTTCTTGTTTCCAAAATCCATACCCGAATTCAAAGATGAAGTCAACCATGAAGTCAACCCGAAGTCAACCATTTTTTTTTTGGCATCAGATTACCATATGTTCTCTTTATTATCTCCAACAGTCCAAAATTATTCTTTGCGATGTCATTTGCAAAACGGCACCTCAATCTTATCAACAAATGTACACCTTTTTTAATTGTTTTGCTAAAAAAAATCCCCTATATTTATACTAACTGGCCAGAAAATGTCAATCACAAAACGACTAACTAATGTTGGCACGGTTCCATGATGTTCTCGAAAATTTTTTCTGCCTAAATTGATGATATCAGTACTCAAAACGGGATTTATTGCTGCTGTCGAAACCATTTGTGTAATCGAATAATTCTAAAAGGAATTGATTTTCATTACACAAAAGCTATTTATAAAAAACACTAACGGTTGTTATCACTAAGACTCATAACAAATGCCGCATTTCTCTCGGTTTTATTTCTCTCGGTTTTTTGTCAAAACAATTTTTCGAGAAAATATTGGGCAGATGCGTTATAGCCAAGATACCTACCGATTATGGTAAACTTATCCAAGATTCAACTCAACTTTTGGTTATTTTAAAATGCTTTGGTTCGACAAAATTTGGTATTGCAATGTGGAACGTTTATAATAGACTATGTAGACTATAATAGATTTATAATTTGCGAACAACCAACTGAGCTGGAATTTGAATTAAAACAGAGAAATTGGCCGAGTGCGACCTTCAATTTGGACTGTAATTTTCCAAAAGCAAAATAATGAGCGATGTGGTCGGCAAGTGACGAGTTCAAATATTTTCCACAAATCAATGTCCTACAGAAGAATGAAATTTGATAAACCCATACCATCTGGATTAAGAAATAGCCTAGTCTCACAAGAAATCATCACATCTGAGAAACTAGAACGATAAGCGACGTGTTCGAGCAAACAAGATAAAAACAATTACAATGTTGGAAAAGATACTGGATAATTGAGGAATTAGAAGCACCAGAACAAAAACATACCGGCAAAAAATATTAGTTTTGTTGGCTAAATACATGAAAAATCATTGAAGACATGACGTACCTAAAATTACACCTATGATTAGTGGAAACATGGAAGAAGAGGACAAATACATGATCAA